CGTTTTTCCCTCCTGCCATCTCAGTGATTGTTTTGAGAACAACCTCAGTGGCTCAATTCCTGCCAGTATCGGCTCGCTTGCCCACCTGGGATTCCTGTAAGTTCTATGCTTCGCTTCGCCCTCGTACCTCGTCTCCTGCACTCCTGGCTAACTCCTACCTCTCAACCCGCCTTCGCGGCTGGTGCATTGGTTGTCCGGCTTGAGATGTCATGGAGGTCCGCAATCCCTGTAGACGGTCGAGTGGCGGCGCCGGTGTATGGGCGTTGCACTATTGACTTCGTAGATCTTGTGTGGTGTTCCGCTGAATCTAGAGATTGGCTTTGTTCAAACCTGCGGTTGGAAACCAAAACACGAGCTGCAAGAGGAAGGCCGCCGGCGCAGTCTTAGGTGGCTCGTGGAATACCTCTATAGTGTTGGGGTACCCAAGGTAGCTGGGGCTCGTGTGGTGAGCCTGAGCCGCCTCATTGGCGTTATTGAGGAAGGCCACGGCTTGACCTCGCTGCAGCATCACCGACCAGTGCTGGCGGAACAGCTGCAGCAGTTCGCCGTTTGGGTGGATTTGATAGGCATGCACTTAGTTCAGGCTTGGCCGCGGACGGCGAGCCCGGGCTGAGCCGACTCTTGCTGAGGCGGTAGCATCCACCCCGGGGAAGGGGAGGCCTAGGTTTAAGGTAAGCGCAGCCATGTTGTAGCATGGACTCAGTTGAGGTCGTGTGTGTTAGAATTTCCGGCAGCGCTCTCGCTACTCTCAGGTAGGCTTGAGCATAGACCCGACCCGACCCGACCTGACCCGACTTTGCCCCACCCGAAGTCGGGTGCGGGTCGGGTCGGGTCGGGTCAAGTTGGGTTTTAGGTATGAAAAAACCAACCCGACCCGGGTTTGAAGGGTCGGGTTTAAAGAAACCCGATGTCGGGTCGGGTCGGGTCGGGTTATAGCAGGGCAGGAACGGGTTTTTGGACCCGTCACCTTGTTTTATGGGTTTGGGGTCACCCAGGTGGGTATTATACTGTTTGGTGACCGTGTCTACGTGGCTTTGTTCATTGTGCTGCCCTAACAAGAAGCATTTGGTTGTTGTGCATTGTAAAACACATTTGCTAGCCTGCTATGTGACTACAGCAATGCATTTCACTCACTCATAACAGCACCCATGCTATTTGAGTGCTGTTTTTTGCTTGCTCAGATGCCTAATAAATGCTGGAAACATAACTTAGGATGCCAGTAGAGTGCGTGTAAAAACCACGCCATGACAACCCCTTAGCTCCATGCTGGGTTCGCCAAAGGACTCGGGTGCCAACCTAAGAGCACGGACGTCGTGTCTAACACTGAAGTTTGCCTTTATGTTGCAAGTCTAGGGCTGCACAAATCATACATACAGCCCAACCATTTCGGCCAGCCATGAAACCTCCATCATCCCCCTCTCCCAAATGAGGCCATCACAACCCAAAGTCCTCACCCTCGATGCAAAGCTCCTTCAATGCCTGTTCAGCTGCCAGCCCCAGGAGCTGCTCACCCTGGTGCTCTGTCATCCATGACTTGATCGTCATGGATGCACGCACCTGGGAGGCGCTCAACCGGTGGCGCTGCCACGACACTATGCCTCGCCCCTGACTAAACGCTCTCTCGCTAGCAGCGGATGTGGCCAGGATCGCCAATTAGTCGCGAGCCATGGCCCGTAGGCCAGGCAGGTCTACCCTGTTGTGCCAGAATTTTAGGGGGCAGCCAACCTTAAGCCGGGGCTGTGCTAGGTACCTCTCCAGCTCATCGGGTGCCTTGACCCCCGCCGATGCCGCCTGCTTGTCCATCTTGGCGAACAGCTCGTCCACTAGATCATCCCCCCCTCCCCCATCCGAACTACCGCCCTCGCCCCCGGCGCCACACTCGACATGAACCGCTTTAGGTCTGCTGGTCCCCTCCGTCCCCTCTGTCTCCCCACCGCCCTGCAGCTTAGCCAAGTACCTGCCGAGACGCTTCCGAACCAGCTTCGCCACCCTCTCCTCGTCCAGCACAGGGACCACTCTGGCCGTGCCTGCAGTGTCGGTGGCCAGCTGCTCGTTCTCTGCCTTCCACCACGGAAGCCTAAAGTAGTGCTTGTAGCGGGGGTCAAGCATGGTGGCCACTGCCAGCTCCTTCGCCACCCCGTACTCGTACTTCTTCAGGACCTCCAGCGCCTCCCATGCCGTGTCTTTAATCACAGGCGTGGTCTTATTGCTGTGGTACATCGTCTCGAGGTTGTCGATGAGCAGGTTGTACTGAGGGACTACCGCGGCGGCTTTTGGATACAGCGATCCCTCAGCCGCTGTGGTGAGGGAGTTGAACGGCTTAAGAAAAGCTGCCACCTCCACAAGGGTCTCCCAATGGTCGTCCCTCAGGTGGTACTTGCTATGGGATTCTGCCTGCTTCTTGGAGGAGCTTCCGGGCTGGAGGTTTCAGCAAGGTGGACACGGGAAAGGGGGGGGAGGAAATAGGAGGGTTTAGGACGGAGTGAGATGTGAGGGCATGCCTTTCTGGCATGCCATGAGCCATGTGCCATGCCATGCCATGTGCCATGCCATGCCATGTGCCATGCCATGCCATGCGTCATGCCATGCCATGCGCCATGCCATGCCATGCCATGTCATGTGCCATGCCATGCCATGCGCCATCCCATGCGTCATCCCATGCCATGCGCCATGCCATGTCATGTGCCATGCTATGCCATGCGCCATGCCATGCCATGCCATGTCATGTGCCATGCCATGCCATGCGCCATGCCATGCCATGCGCCATGCCATGCCATGCCATGTGCCATGCCATGCCATGCGCCATGCCATGTGCCATGCCACCTCATCTCTATCATGGCAACCAGCCCCTCCCTAGCCTTCTTGCCCTCCTCAGGTTCGGGCAGATAGCTAACTATTCCTTTCACCAACCCCTTTACTTGTAACTGCATCTCGTACAAACCCTGTCTTCGCACCCCCTCAGCTAGAATGTGCCAATCAATCCCAAAGACCCACATTTTCCCTTATCACTGAAGAACTTGCTTCCTGTGCTATCGAGCTGAGACTGGCTAATCAGGTTTAGCGAGAGCTTCTCGACCAGCAAAACGTTCTCAAGGGTCAGCTCACTGTATGGACTCTGTAGCACGATCTCTCCTTCTCCCAACACTGGCAGCCTCCCTTCATCTCCTAGCAGCACATAGGGTACTGCTGACTATCTGAAACTAGTCAACCAGTCTCCTCTGTAGGTCATGTGCTGTGTGCACCCACTATCCATGAACCAGCCTATTTCCTTGAGCCTCTTTGTGAGCAAGCATAACTCCGACGCTCTTGCCAAGTTTGCTCTATGTGCTCCTCCAAGAATAGCATCCTCCTCCGCTAATGCGTCTGCTGCATTTACTCTAGCCGCTGCGGGTTTCTGTTGCACTCGTACCCTTTGGAAGCGTTGATTCTTGAAAAAACAATCTACTGCCTTATGCCCATACCGCCCGCACTGATTGCAGTTGCCCACGAAACCTCCTCCTGTCCTCGCCTTTTCTCCTGCTGTCCTGTCCGCACCCGGCTCCTTCCCTAAGGTCTTTCCCCTGAAATTCTTACTCTTAGGGTTGAAATAGCACTCGGCTGCCTTATGCCCATTTCTACCGCACTCAAAACATGGTCCGAAACCCTTTGCTGTAGGCCCTATCACATTAACTAGAGCTGGTTTCACTGCTTTAGCACTACTACTAGCAGTTGCCTCCTTCCTCTTCCTCTCCGTCTTAACTAGCTCTAGCGATTGCAGCATCTCTACAAGCTTTGTGAGTGATGAAGGCGGGTTGCCAGTCAGCATGCCTATCTCAATCTCCCACTCCTTCAGTAGCCCATTGATGATATACCCTATCATCTCTCCCTCGGATTCCGTCGCACCCATCGCCTGCAGATCATCGTTATAACTCCGCGCCCTGTTCACGAACTCGATAATACTCTCCTTCTCCATGCTCAACAGCAACAACTTCTTTCTAACTATCGCTTTGTTGGTGTCGGTACAACCAAGGTTAACTGTCTCCATATACTCCCACGCTCTCTGCGCTGGATTTAACTCCCCTGCAAACTGATCTAACCCTACAGCTATGCTGCCTGCAACGGAGTGACATAGCTGAAAGAACGCTTGCTTACTCTTTTTTTTATGCGTCGTCTTTTCACATGCAGTCGCTCCTACACCAGGTGGTACTCCTTCCTGTGTCGTCTCGTCAGGATGATAGAACATCCAGAGGTCTACTTCCTCTGCCCTCCTGATAAACTTCAGACGCCACGTACTATAGTTGCTGCCACTAAAACGCTGCGCCTCGCTCAAGCCAATCGTTGGCTTCGAAACGACATGCCCCTGCGCTAACGCTTCTAGGAGAGCTTGTAGTTGCGGGCCTCCACCAGCGGACGATCCCGAACTAACCTCGCCACGTTCATTCGTCATGGCGTATGCATTCTAACTCTCTCTAGCCGTGCGCAACAAGGATTCGCCAAGCTCTGATACCAGCTGTTACAATTTCCGGCAGTGCTCTCGCTACTCTCAGGTCGTTCTTACACTCCAAACAGACTCCCGACAGCACTATCACAAGTACTAAGGGTAGTCTTAACGCCACCAGTCAAGTTCTGGTTGCAAATAGGCATCACGACGTGAGGGAGAATTTTCAGATTCACTATATACAAAGAGATACAAATAGACATGGTTAAATCGCATCGCATTGTATCGCATTTTGCGATAACGATGTATCTTTTTTTTCTTTTTTTTTTAAAAGAAAATCGCGGCGATGCGATGCGATAATATCGCGCGATATTTGCGATATCCCATTTTTATCGCGCTATTTTTTGCGCGATAAAATGCGATAAGCGATAAAAATATATGGCGCGCGATACTTTCGCGTTTCGCATCCCGGAATTTCGCCAGCAAGGGGAGGGACATGGGCGAGGGCACTGAACTTAGCAAAAATAGGAGGTGAGCTAGTCTAGGTTTCTCTTGGGGTGATGCTGAATGGCGCGGGGAAATGGCAAGCGGCAGTTTGGGGGGAGGAGTTTGTGTGAGGAGCAGAGCTTGGAGAACATTAGAGGAAGGGTTGGAAATTCTAGATGGGAAGGAGTGCAGTGTGGTTGAGGGAGGGGAGTTTGGTGGGGGTTCAAATTTGTTATGGTTGGTGGTGGGTGGTGGGTGAGTGGGTTTTCTGGATGGGATGTGGTGGTGTACGTTTGAAGGGATTTAGGGGGTTGGACTGAAATCTCGACCCCCAAAGTCAATTGGTTGGACTCCAACCAAATTCCACCACTTCAACCGCACTAAAATCCCCTGCATCTACAGAATCCAACCCCGTCCCCTCAAACACGCTCCACATGAGAGGGACCACGATATTCCCATCTCCCGTCAATTCACTTACCTAATTCCGCGCGAACCTAGGAGAGCCACCATTGTCGTGCCCTGTGGTGTGGGAACACGTTTTTTAAGGGCGGGAAAATAGTGGCCCCTAAATGCGATGCATCGCTTTTTTTAGGCAATATCTTTTAATATCGCCCCCTAGAACGCAATATGCGATTTCGGCTTTTTTTTTTTACATATCGCAGCGATGTGATATCGCATTGCTGCGATATAATGCGCAATAAGAAATAATGCGATGCGATATCGCATCGCATCGCGTTTTGACCATGTCTAGATACAAAGAAACAGATTTATATGAAAACATTTCCTAAGATACATGACATTGCGTAGCGCACATCCGAACCGCATTTCACACAATATAACCAAACCGCATTTCTGCTCCTCCGAACATCGCGTCACTGTACCAATTTCTGCTCGTCGCTCACAAGTCCTCCGCGTGTCCCAAACACCTCCTCCTTCCAACACGTAACCTTGCAGCCCCTCACCACCTAGCACACCCGTATGTAGACTTCAGCTTACGCCACCTGTTAGCGCTGTCATACTGCCACCTAGCTTATGCCATGCTGCCACGGGTTGACTAGGGGCAAGCGCGAACCACCTCCAACAGAGTGAAGTTGGCAGCAGTCGAGGATCCACCTTTCGTTTGAATGGTGCCCTGTTGTAGAAACGGGAGCGAGTGCTTTTGTTTGAGGGGTGTTGTCCATATTCTTGGCATTGCTGAGCAGTGCCAGGCGAGTCCTGTTTCATCTCCCACCTCCCATTGACCTTCAATACGTGCACCCAATCTGCGTGCCCCTCCCCGCCTTTCCCTTGCCCACACCAGCATTCTCCCAGCCCCCATCCCCCTCCCTTTGCTCCCTAATTCCCCCCGTGTGCCCCACTTAGCCCATCTTTTCCTTTGATCTAGCTGTCTCTCCATTCTCTAGATCAACGGTTCCTTAACGAAGCCCCATTCTTCCTTTCTGTGCTTTCTTTGTCTACTTTTCGACGATTTTATTTCTTCCTACGTCCAGCTACCCACCCCCCACCATTCCCCCCTCCCTCTCCCCTTCCCCTCCCCCCCCCTCTGTCCCCGCCTCTCTTTTTCCCTCTCCCCTACCCAACCCCTTTTCCCCCACCTCCCCTCCGTCATGACCCACCTCCTGTTCTCATCCACCGCGTGTTTCTGCATCCCATTCGTCCATCCATAGCTACATATCCGGTTTTTGTACCACCTTTCTCCACTGCTCATCGTTCCTTCGCTCTCCCCTCTACTCATCCCACTTCTCTCCTGTTTTGCACATCTTCCTCTCTTTCCCCCCTTTTTTCCTCCTGCCATCAAAGCTGTATTGCTTTTAACCAGCTCAGTGGCTCAATCCCTGCTAGCATCAGCTCACTTGCTCAACTGACTCGCCTGTAAGTTCTATGCTTTGCTTCGCCCTCGTACCACTTCTCCTGCACTCCTGGCCAACTCCAGTGAACCAGGCCGTTGTACGTCATAGACCTCACTGCATTGATTGGTACACACACTCTCTAGTTTGGAGATCAACAGAGCAGCATTCATGCTCACTTCTCATCCTCTCTCAAACAGAATGTTGGCAAGAAACTTAGGTTACCAGGCCCATTCCAGCTGGCATTAGAGACCTTAGAAGCTTGGACTTGCTTGAGGTCGTGTGAAGTAGGGAGCAGCCGAGGATCCACATTTCGTTTGAATGGTGCACTGTTGTAGAAGCGGGAGGGAGCTGCTTTCGTTTAAGGGGTGTTGGCCATATTCTTGGTTGCTGAGCAGAGCCAGGCGACTCCTGTTTCATCTCCCATGTCCCGTTCGCTTTCCCTGCACCCATCTGCGTGCCCCTCCCCTGCGTTTCCCTTGCCCACCCCAGCATTCTCCCTGCAACCATCCCTGTCCCTTTCCTCCCTCCTTCCCCCCGTATGCCCCACTTAGCCCATCTTTTCCTTTGAAAGCAGATGGCTGTCTCTCCTTTCTCTAGATCAATGGTTCCTTAACGAAGCCCCATTCTTCCTTGCTGTGCTTTCATGTGCGCTACTTTATTACACCTAAATTCCTTCCTACGTGTGCCTCCCATTCAGCCCCCCCCACTCTCTTCCCCCCCCAACCCCTCCCTCTCCTTCCCCCCCCCTCTCTCCTTTCCCCCTCCCCTCACAACCGCCTTTCCCCCATCTTCCCCTCCGTCATGCCCCGCCTCCTGTTACTATCCACCGCGTGTTTCTGCATCCCATTCGTCCACCCATTGCTATACATCTTTTTTCGTACCACCTTTCTCCACTGCTCATCTTTCCTTCGCTCTCCCCTCCACTCATCTGTTCCATTGTCTGTCCGCCCCCTTTCAACTTCTCTCCTGTTTTGCACACCTTCCGCTCGTTCCCTCGTTTTCCCCTCCTGCCATCTCAGTGATCTTTCTCATAACAACCTCAGTGGCTCAGTCCCTGCCAGTATCGGCTCGCTTGCCCACCTGGGATTCCTGTAAGTTCTATGCTTCGCTTCACCCTCGTACCTGTTCTCCTGCACTCGTGGCTAACTCCTACCTCTCAACCCGCCTTCGCGTCTGGTGCATTGGTTGTCCGGCTTGAGATGTCATGGAGGTCCCCAATCCCTGTAGACGGTCGAGTGGCGGCGCTGGTGTACGGGCGTTGCACTATTGACTTTGTAGATCTTGTGTGGTTTTCCGCTGAATCTAGGGATTGACTATGTTCAAACCAGCGGTTGGAGCCTTAAACGCACGCTGCACGAGGAAGGCCGCCGGCGCAGTCTTAGGTGGCTCGGGGAATACCCCTATAGTGTTGGGGTACCCAAGGAAGAGGGGCTCGTCTGGTGAGCCTGAGCCGCCTCATTGGCGTTATTAAGGAAGGCCACGGCTTGACCTCGCTACAGCATCACCGACCAATGCTGGCGGTACTGCTGCAGCAGTTGGCCATTTGGGTGGATTTGATAGGCATGCACTTAGTTCAGGCTTGGCCGCGGACGGCGAGCCCGGGCTGAGCCGACTCTTGCTGAGACGGCAGCATCCACCCCGGGGAAGGGGAGGCCTAGGTTTAAGGTAAGCGCGGTCGCGAAGCGAGTGGTGGAAGTGGACGAGCAGTAGCTAGTCGCCCGCCTTAGCTGAAATGGGCAACTGCTGAGTGAGGTGGTCGAGTGGGTTCGGGTCCACCATGCGTGAGGCGACCACCAGCTCGGCGTAGCCATGTCCTCGGACCTCTTTGAACAAGGTCGCACTGCAGCGGGCCGTGCTGAGTCGTACTAAAGTGTGTATGGGGGCCTAAGTTGCACTAAACGCGTATGGCGTTTTATACGCTAGCGTATAAACGCTAGCGTATATACGTTATACTTTTTTTTGGGGCCTAGTATACGCTAGGTATACACTTTTTCGGCCAGGTGAAATTTTTTACCCCGGGCAGGGAAAAAAACCGCGCCTAGGTTGGGGGAAAAAGGGGGAATGTAGTGTGAGGCATAGATTTTCATTGCAATATGTAACAGAGAACAAAGTTAAGCCTTTAAGGCATAAATAATTGACATGTCAAGGTTTCTCCCAAAGCCCGTTCCCTTCCCTCAGCCAAGTAAGTACTACCCCGCGAACACACTCCCACGTCCCCCATCTCCCCCAAGTGCATGCTTGCCAAACCTGCAGCACATCCCCCTAACCCTCAGCCTCCTCCTCCTCAGCCTCCTCCTTCTCCTCCTCTTCCTCCTCCTCCTCCTCCTCCTCCTCCTCCTCCTCTTCATCCCCACACTCATCATGCAGTACTGCCTCATCCTCCAGGTCATCATCCACCAGCTCCCCCTCCGCATCCACATTGTAGCCCGCCGGGGTGGGGGGCTCTGGGATGTTCCCGGCGAGCACCACCCTCTCCTCCTCGCTGGACAGGTGCCAATTGTGCACAACGTTCCAGTTGTGCGCAACGTACACGAAGTCCTTGCATTTTTCTGATCCGAGCCGGTTGCGGCGCGCAGTGTGCACCGACTCCCACACCGCCTATCCGCGCTCGCAGCGGGCGGCAGATGCCAGCTGCGTGAGCACACGGCGTGCCAGCGTTGCAAGCTCGGGACAATCGGTGCCATGCCACATCCACCATTCCTCCATTGTCATCATCCCCGCCTTCACGTCCGCCATTTGCTCGATTGTAGTTGGCATACCACAGCTCCTCCTCATTTTCAAGAACGCCGTGATCCCTTGCTGCAGAACAACTGCCGCGCTCTTGCCGTTCACCTCCTTCCTGGAGATGGTGATGCTCTTGCTGTAATCACTGATAAATGCCTTGAAAATCTTGGTGCACTCAGTGTCTAGGCCAAAAATCTTCTCTGTTTGGTTGGCCGGAATGAGGATCCGGCCAACCGCATGCATGGGGCAAGCCATGCTTTTGTCCCACCGCTTCTGCAGGATCTTTGTGATCCCCTTCTTGTCGGCTGGCCGCAGCTGCTCATCATCCTTTTTCAGCAGGCCATGCACATCCTCGGTAAGCTTTAGCATGAGTTCATAAATGCTGCCCATCATCCCCTTTGCCGACGAATCTGTTGCCCGCATGATGTTGTACGGCAACTTCAACAGCTTCACGACGAACTCTGCTGCAGCCCACCAAGCCCGGTCCAAGATGATGCTCTGGATCTCATCGGCCGCCTCCTTCTGATTCCCAACCGCCCATGCCTTCCACTGCTCGCCCGACACCAGCTGTGCTAGCTTCTCCCTTAGCTTGACAAACCAGGACACGGCTATGTATTGAGTGCCGAACCGATTGCCCGCCGGCTTCAACATCTTCAGCACCTTGCCGCCTGGCTCCCCCGGCTCCCGGAGGCAATTCCTCGTCCAGTGGTGGTTGCGTACGTAGGTAATCACTTCGTTTGCGCGGAGGATGACATTCTTCACCCGCGGCTGCTTCCCGATGTCCTCCATCATCAGGTCCAGCACGTGGGTTGCGCACGAAACCTGCTGGATGTGCGGGTTCTCCTGGATCCTAACCCGGCAGGCCTTGCCGTAGTTGCTTCCGCCATCCATGCAGAGTGCGACCACATTCTCTGGTCCGAAAATCTGCAGGATGGGGCACAAGAGGCCGACGATGTAGCCGCCGGTCTTGCTCTCCATCCGGCAATCAATGCTCTCCACGAAGACAGCTCCAGAGTCATTCACAAGGAGGACATTCGCTTGTGGTCGGCCATTCCGGTCGGTCATCATGTCGGAGGCAATCGTCACGCCGGTGCCTTCCCAAGTCTCCCGAATTGGTTGCAGTCCTTTGTCGATGCGCGTGCGGACAGCCTTCAACCTTGCACCGCCAATGATGCACTGTTGTAGAAACGGGAAGGGGCCAATGGGAGGGAGCTGCATAATTCCTTTAAATGATGCACTATTGTAGAAACGGGAGGGGGCCAATGGGAGGGAGCTCCTTTTGTTTAAGGGGTGTTGGCCATATTATTGGCATTGCTGTGTGCAGAGCCAAACGACTCTTGTTTCATCTCCCACCTCCCATTCGCCATCCATATGTGCACCCATCTGCATGCCCCTCCCCCGCCTTTCCCTTGCCCACCCCAGCATTCTCCCAGCAACCATCACCCTCCCTTTGCTCCCTCCTTCCCCCCGTGTGCCCCACTTAGCCCATCTTTTCCTTTGAAAGCAGATGGCTGTCTCTCCTTTCTCTAGATCAATGGTTCCTTAACGAAGCCCCATTCTTCCTTGCTGTGCTTTCTTTGTGCGCTACTTTCTTACACCTAAATTACTTCCTACGTGTGCCTCCCATTTAGCCCCTCCCCACTCTCTTCCCCCCCCGACCCCCCCCTCCCTCCCCCCCTCCCTCTCCTTCCCCCCCCTCTCTCCTTTCCCCCTCCCCTCACAACCGCCTTTCCCCCATCTTCCCCTCCGTCATGCCCCGCCTCCTGTTAGTATCCACAGCGTGCTTCTGCATCCCATTCGTCCACCCATTGCTATACATCCTTTTTCGTACCACCTTTCTCCACTGCTCATCTTTCCTTCGCTCTCCCCTCCACTCATCTGCTCCATTGTCTGTCCGCCCCCTTTCAACTTCTCTCCTGTTTTGCACACCTTCCGCTCGTTCCCTCGTTTTTCCCTCCTGCCATCTCAGTCATCTTTCTAATAACTACCTCAGTGGCTCAGTCCCTGCCAGTATCGGTTCGCTTGCCCAGCTCGTATACCTGTAAGTTCTATGCTTCGCTTCGCCCTCCTACCTCTTCTCCTGCACTCCTGGCTAACTCGTACCTCTCAACCCGCCTTCGCATCTGGTGCATTGGTTTTCCAGCTTGAGATGTCATGGAGGTCCGCAATCCCTGTAGACGGTCGAGTGGCGGCGCCGGTGTATGGGCGTTGTACTATCGACTTCGTAGATCTTGTGTGGCGTTCCGCTGAATCTGGTGATTGGCTTTGTTCAAACCTGCGGTTGGAGGCCGTCGACGCGAGCCTCAATAATGAGACCGCCGGAGCGGTCTTATGGGGCTCGGGGAATACCTCTACAGAGTTGGGGTACCCAAGGTAGAGGGGCTCGTCTGGTGAGCCTGAAACGCCTCTTTGGCGTTATTGAGGAAGGCTACGGCTTGACCTCGATGCAGCATCACCGACCAGTGCTGGCGGACTTGGTGCAGCAGTTCGCCATTTGGGTGGATTTGATAGGCATGCACTTAGTTCAGGCTTGGCCGCTGACGGCGAGCCCGGGCTGAGCCGACTCTTGCTGAGGCGGCGGCATCCACACCGGGGAAGGTGAGGCCTAGGTTTAAGGTAAGTGTGGTCACAAAGAGGGAAGGGGACGAGCAGTAGCCAGTCGCCCGCCTCAGCCGAAATGGGAGGGCAACTGCTGAGTGAGGTGGTCGTGTGGGTTCAGTCCACCATGCGCGAGGCGGCCACCAGCTCGGCGTAACCATGTCCTCGGACCTCAAGCACAAGGTCGCACTGTAGCGGGCCGTGCTGAGTCGTGCTAAGTGCGCATGCAGGCTTTAATCTGTATCGGGCCGTTGTACGTCATAGATCTCACTCCATTGATTGTTACACACACTCTCTATCTAGTTTGGAGATCAACAGAGCAGCATTCATGCTCACTTCTCATCCTCTCACACAGAGGCTTGGCAAGGAACTTAGGTTACCAGGCCCATTCCAGCTGGCATTAGAGACCTTAGAAGCTTGGACTTACTTGAGGTCGTGTGAAGTAGGGAGCAGTCGAGGATCCACATTTCGTTTGAATGGTGCACTATTGTAGAAGCGGGAGGGAGCTGCTTTCGTTTAAGGGGTGTTGGCCATATTCTTGGTTGCTGAGCAGAGCCAGGTGACTCCTGTTTCATCTCCCACGTCCCGTTCGCCTTCCCTGCACCCATCTGCGTGCCCCTCCCCCGCCTTTCCCTTGCCCACCCCAGCATTCTCCCAGCAACCATCCCCGTCCCTTTCCTCCCTCCTTCCCCCTGTGTGCCCCACTTAGCCCATCTTTTCCTTTGAAAACAGATGGCTGTCTCTTCTTTCTCTAGATCAATGGTTCCTTAACGAAGCCCCATTCTTCCTTGCTGTGCTTTCTTTGTGCGCTACTTTCTTACACCTAAATTCCTTCCTACATGTGCCTCCCATTCAGCCCCTCCCCACTCTCTTCCCCCCCCGACTCCCCCCTCCCTCCCCCCCTCCCTCTCCTTCCCCCCCCTCTCTCCTTTCCCCCTCCCCTCACAACCGCCTTTCACCCATCTTCCCCTCCGTCATGCCCCGCCTCCTGTTAGTATCCACAGCGTGTTTCTGCATCCCATTCGTCCACCCATTGCTATACATCCTTTTTCGTACCACCTTTCTCCACTGCTCATCTTTCCTTTGCTCTCCCCTCCACTCATCTGCTCCATTGCCTGTCCGCCCCCTTTCAACTTCTCTCCTGTTTTGCACACCTTCCGCTCGTTCCCTCGTTTTTCCCTCCTGCCATCTCAGTCATCTTTCTCATAACAACCTCAGTGGCTCAGTCCCTGCCAGTATCGGCTCGCTTGCCCAGCTCGTATTCCTGTAAGTTCTATGCTTCGCTTCGCCCTCCTACCTCTTCTCCTGCACTCCTGGCTAACTCCTACCTCTCAACCCGCCTTCGCGGCTGGTGCATTGGTTGTCCAGCTTGAGATGTCATGGAGGTCCGCAATCCCTGTAGACGGTCGAGTGGCGGCGCCGGTGTATGGGCGTTGTACTATCGACTTCGTAGATCTTGTGTGGCGTTCCGCTGAATCTGGTGATTGGCTTTGTTCAAACCTGCGGTTGGAGGCCGCCAACACGAGCCGCAATAATGAGACCGCCGGAGCGGTCTTATGGGGCTCGGGGAATACCTCTACAGAGTTGGTGTACCCAAGGTAGAGGGGCTCGTCTGGTGAGCCTGAGCCGCCTCATTGGCGTTATTGAGGAAGGCCACGGCTTGACCTCGCTGCAGCATCACCCACCAGTACTGGCGGAACTGCTGCAGCAGTTCATCGTTTGGGCGGATTTGATAGGCATGCACTCAGCTCAGGCTTGGCCGCCGACGGCGAGCCCGGGCTGAGCCGACTCTTGCTGAGGCGGCGGCATCCACACCGGGGAAGGTGAGGCCTAGGTTTAAGGTAAGCGCGGTCACAAAGAGGGAAGGGGACGACCAGTAGCCAGTCGCCCGCCTCAGCCGAAATGGGAGGGCAACTGCTGAGTGAGGTGGTCGTGTGGGTTCAGTCCACCATGCGCGAGGCGACCACCAGCTCGGCGTAGCCATGTCCTCGGACCTCAAGCACAAGGTCGCACTGCAGCGGGCCCTGCTGAGTCGTGCTAAGTGCGCATGGAGGCTTTAATCTGAATCAGGCCATTGTACGTCATAGATCTCACTCCATTGATTGTTACACACACTCTCTATCTAGTTTGGAGATCACAGAGTCGTGATTTGAGTCGTGCTAAGTGTGCACAGCGGATTTGAACTAAAACTGGCCATTGTACGTCATCAATCTCACAGCATTGATTGTTACACACACTCTCTAGTTTGGAGATCAACAAAGCAGTATTCTTGCCCGCATTTCACCCTCTCCCACATAGAAGAAGCTTGGCAAGGAACTCAGCTTTCCAGGCCCATTCCAGCTAGCATTAGAAACCTTAGTAGCGTGGACTTACTTGAGGTCGTGTGAAGTTGGCAGCCGTCGAGGATCCGCCTTTCGTTTGAATGGTGCCCTGTTGTAGAAACGGGAGGGAGTGCTTTTGTTTGAGGGGTGTTGTCCATATTCTTGGCATTGCTGAGCAGAGCCAGGCGACCCCTGTTTCATCTCCCACCTCCCATTGACCTTCAATATGTGCACCCATCTGCGTGCCCCTCCCCGCCTTTCCCTTGCCCACACCAGCATTCTCCCAGCCCCCATCCCCCTCCCTTTGCTCCCTCCTAGCCCCCATGTGCCCCACTTAGCCCATCTTTTCCTTTGATCTGGCTGTCTCTCCATTCTCTAGATCAACGGTTCCTTAACGAAGCCCCATTCTTCCTTTCTATGCTTTCTTTGTCTAAATTTCCACGATTTTATTTCTTCCTACGTCCAGCTACCCACCCCCCACCATTCCGCCCTCCCTCTCCCCTCCCCCCCCTCCTCCCCCCCCCCCCTCCTTCTCTGTCCCCGCCTCTCTTTTTCCCTCCCCTACCCAACACCTTTTCCCCCACCTCCCCTCCGTCATGACCCACCTCCTGTTCTCATCCACCGCGTGTTTCTGCATCCCATTCGTCCATCCATAGCTACATATCCGGTTTTTGTACCACCTTTCTCCACTGCTCATCTTTCCTTCGCTCTCCCCTCCACTCATCACACTTCTCTCCTGTTTTGCACATCTTCCTCTCCTTCCCCCCTTTTTTCGTCCTGCCATCAAAGCTGTATTGCTTCTAACCAGCTCAATGGCTCAATCCCTGCCAGCATCAGCTCACTTGCTCAACTGACTCGCCTGTAAGTTCTATGCTTTGCTTCGCCCTCGTACCACTTCTCCTGCACTCCTGGCCAACTCCTACCTGTCAACCCGCCTTCGCGGCTGGTGCATTGGTTGTCCGGCTTGAGATGTCATGGAGGGCCGCAATCCCTGTAGACGGTCGAGTGGCGGCGCCAGTGTATGGGCGTTGCACTATTGACTTTGTACAGCTTGTGTGGTGTTCTGCTGAATCTAGAGATTGACTTTGTTCAAACCTGCGGTTGGAAACCAAAACGTGAGGTGCAAGAG